TTCAGACCAGGCGCCAAGTTCCGGATATGTCCACTGCGCTGCTCAAAGCCTAAACCTGGTTTTAAACAGTGCTTTTAAAAAGATACCAGACTATGACACTGTACAAAAGATCTATAAGTTTTTATTGAAAGTATTAACCAGTGGAAGCTATTAAAGAACCATTTTTTCAAACCTACTCTTAATAAACTGTGCCCTAAGCGTTGGGCATGCAGTAACGATGTCATTCAATCATGACACTTCCGAATCAAAAAAATAATGCTGGCACTGAGCAAAATTATAATGCTGTCTAAAAAAAACAGAAAAATGCACTGCATCATTGGGCATACTAAAGGCGATGGAGACATTTTAATTTGCGCTTATAGCAGTAGTACAGCCGAAATTAATAGAGAAAGAAAAAACGCTGATTTGCAAGTTCTCCAGAAGCAAGACATGAACCTGCTTTATCATGAAGCAGGTCCATGTCTTGCTGTGCATATGCCTTTTTCTTGTCCTAACAGGCTTGCTGCATGAAGTTCATGCAGCAAGCCTGTTAGGACAAGAAAAAGGCACACAGACCCAGCTCAGGAGGGAGTATAAATACATTAAGGCAACGACGCAAACCCAAGCAGTATTATAATATAAATAATAAAAATAAAATTGAAATAATTTATGCTTAACATTATGAAGTAATAGCATAAAGAAATTATAAATTTACTAAATGTTTGCCTACATATATACACTTAAATACATATACAGATAGCAGACACCAGCACTTTTTTTAATAAAAAGCGAGCACGACGTACAAAAAAAAATAAATATCGATGAACTCAGTGAAGACCAATGGCTTCAAAATGCATAGTAATACTTCTGTAGGTGTCTGTGTTTTACGCTATTGTTGACATTACTGCAGACGAAATTGCAATGTAAAAAGTATGGTTATACAGTTTGTGCAACAAAATGCACGGCGATGATTTTAGATTTAAAATTAACACTCCCGGAATGATGAAATAGGAGCTTTATTTTGTTTTAGCCTAATTTCAATCATAAACATATCAAATTTAATTATTGGGATTTTGTCAATCAACAAATAAAAATAAATAGACTTGCTTACTTATTGCCTAGAACACATGTTTTCTTTTCCCACCATAGATTATGTGTTACTTCGCGGTGTAATTATCTTTAGAGTTGAACTATCAGATCGCAAATGTGCAGTTGTTTTTTTGCTAATGTGCTTTTGGCTTCGTTTATTTCTCTCACAATGCAAAATATAAGCTAGAGTTACAGGTAGAAAGCGATCAGTTTATTGCCAGTGGCAGTGGTACAACTTTAAAGATGGAGATACATTTTTAGTAGATTTAGGGGAGGGGCTTTGATCTAAAAGTATCACTGAAAAAAATTTGATTTTAAGGTGTTTTTTTTTGATAGATGGTAAAGCTTCACCATCCATCGAAAAAAACCCTTATAATCAAAATTTTTTCAGTGATACTTTTGGTTACAACTAAATTTTGAGCCGGTAAATCCTTAGACAATGTTAGCAGTTTTTAGTTTTTTATTCTAAAAAACTTTCAGATTCACAAGAGACACCAAGATTGTTGTTATTTCTACTACTACTATCAATAAAGTATCAAGGATCTCATTTATATCAGTAAAATTATTTTAGCTATTTTTCAAAATTAATTTTTGAGAGATCTATAAATGCAATTAACAAATTTTCTTTTGATTACTAGAAAAGTTCACCTTTTATATCGAGCAATGGAATGTTGAATACTTTACTTACTTTCAGTTACCTAATACAAGGGTGGAATAAAATTTTTGTCCAGATCACAGACTTCTATAATAACTATTATATCATAGAGAACCATAATCCAGATCTAATACACATGGGGTCCTAATAAACGGTTGGGTGGGAACTTTTATTTTTATCAGTGAGTTTATACTTTTTAATTAATAAGCCTGGTTTACAGTGAAAATTTATTTTAGTTGTGGTATATAGAAATTAATAAATGGGTAGGGTGTAAGGGTTCTTAAAAAGCTATGGTACATAGCTTTTTAAGAACCCAACTACACTTACTAAAGCGTGTTTTGAAAAGCATTTGCTCACTTTTTCTGCTTACCTTAAGCTATACCATTTTTTTCAAAAAAGAAGAAGAAAAAACAAAGAATGATGAATGAAACGTTTGCTTCCCCATCCCAAACCCTCAGTCGATGTAGCAGCACTCCACTGCAAGTCAGGCTATTTGTTAGTCGATGTATGTACTGAAGCCGAGGTCAGATTGCTTACCTTAGTACGCAATACTATTTGTATATATATATATATATATATATATATATATATATATATATATATATATATATATATATATATATATATATATATATATATATATGTATATATAGGGGAGAGTGGTGTACCTCGGAGGTATTTTCAAACTTTTTCAAATATAAGAAAAAATACTTACAATATGATCTGAAACAATATATTTTCTTTAACTTGATGATATTAGTTACTTTAGGATTTTTTAATAAACATCCAGACATTTTTTCATCCCTTATTTTAATTTTTAAAAATAGCTTCCACTACAGCCAAGGTACAACACCGGTGGTGTACCTTGGAGGTACTTATGTTGTACCTTGGAGGTATTATTGTTTTAACAAATTTAGTACTCAACATGATAGAAATTTGATATAATGTTTACTTATATGATAATTAGACTTCACATCAGCCTCATTTAAGATAACATTTATCAAACTAGTTAAATTTATATAAACTGTATATTAATTTATATTGCTATATATGATTATAAATTTAAACTAATTTAAATTTAGAAGTACTAAAAGTGTACATAAGAAATAAAGCTTATTAAGAAAAGAGTAATAACAAAATTATACATTAAAGTTCAGTAAATTAAAGTCTTTCACTTTGATTTAGTATTTGACTACTCTACATTTAGGTTATCAAAGTTAATGCCAAATGATAATTTTTCCAGCTGTCGTGCTGAACCTCCTGTAATAGAGGGATGCGGCAACTGAAAGATCATGTCTGATTTGTCCAATTCATTTACAGTTTAATCTTCTCTAGTAAATCTTTCTGAGTTTGTGTCTTTTTTTAAGTACTGAATTTTGAAAAACGTGTCAGCAACTTCTAGCACCTCTGCTACAAAGTTTTTTACAGCACGTTTGCCATGAATTTGTGCCAAGATAAAAAAGAAGGATTGTGGACAGTGCTAACACTGGTTTTGTCAACATTCCATATGTTAAATGCTGTAATACCTTGATTTTGTTCAAGCCCAAGAGCTACTTCATAATTTTGAAAAGTAAGTGCTACATTTTGTCTATTAAAAGCAGTTGAGCGGGCCAGACTTGTTGCCTCAGGCTTTCTAAGTAATAATTCTTTAGAATATTTTTTTTGGAAGATTTTCAGCCACTCTTTTCCAGCTATCTGGTTTCTATCTCAAGATGCATCATACTTTTTTTGATTTGCTTTCCCAAATTGGTAAGCCAGTTTTCTAACATCTTTCAAAGTCAGTTCATAATGAAGATCAGCAGTTTTCAATATGTAATCAACTAGAAGTTTATCTTCTTTTATGGTGAAGACTTGTTTAATGTTTTTTTTTTTTTGTAACAAAATATTTCTAAACCTGATTCAAGGATTTTGTTTCTGTGTTTTCTTAAGGTTGTTTCAGGAATGTCAAAGTCCATAGAACCTCTGTATATGACAGTTCATTGTTCACTATAAGTTTTACAGCTCTTTCTAGGTCTTCTTTTTGTATAGGTTTTCTTTTAAATCCATTTTTACTTCAAAGGATTTTATTTATATTTTATTTTTTGTTTTTCTAAAAATTAACGAAAAGCATTAAAAACTATCAAATATCTGTATAGTTTATTTTATCAAATATCTGTATAGTTTATAGTTTAATGTCATAAAATGGAAGAACATCATCACAAAAAAAAAAATTACCTATAACGACATATTACATTAAATAAATATTTTCATAACAAACTTGCTCATAATAGTATTTACAAAATTATGCAAGTGTGTACCTTGGTGGTACCACAAAGGTACACAACATTAGCTACCTCCAAGGTACACCACTACCACAGTTTTTACAAAATTGATACCATATATTTATAGGTTAGGAGTTAAGCAGTTTCAAACATGCATAAATGTAGCTAAAAACATGCTTTACAAATTCTGATAATCAGTTTTAATATAAAGTTTATACCTACAGTTGTAGATTTATTTGTATTGCAACAGCAAGTGTGTTAAGCAGAGTAAAACAACTTATTATAAGCCTTTAATGACCAATACATGCAACTAAAATTTCAGTTTGAATCTATTACTCAATATGGCAGCACAATTGACGTGCCTTCAAGGTACAAACCCCTCCAAGGTACACCGCTCTCCCCTATATATATGTATATATATATATATATATATATATATATATATATATATATATATATATATATATATATATATATGTATATATATATATATATATATATATTAAATTTTCTGGTATGTGTTTTTAAAAAAAATGCAAAACCTGATTTTGATTCGTATGAAAGTGCCGACCTAATTTATAAATAAATATCATTCTAAAAAAAAGATACAAAAAAGAGCAACAATAAAACAACTTAAAGCATGCAAAAACAAAAACATCTAATATGATATTACAAGTTATTATATCTCCTGTTTTTCAAGATAAAAAGTCACATTTGAACTCATAAAACTTATTTGTATTTTTTATTTTTGAGGTTACATTTACTGTTTTCCTGACTCCGATCTCAACTGATTTCACTGTTGTTTAAAAGTTTAAAAAATATTGTTTTATAAAGTTTTTTAAACATTAACAGAAACAATGTACAGAATAGAATGAACAATAGAATGTTGATTGAGTAGTGTTCTAGTTTTTGTTTTTTAGTTATTAAGCTTATTATATATATATATATATATATATATATATATATATATATATATATATATATATATATATATATATATATATATATATATATTTAAATTGAAAAAGTTTGAAATAAAATGGATTTACTTGGATCAATTCTTGGCAGCATGGATACTGTGACTAACAAGAAGGTTGATAATGAAGCTAAGAAAAGAATTCAAGGTAATTCACAATCAAATTATTTTTTTTATTTTATGTATTTTTTTGTAAAAAATAGTTAAAATTATCTAAATCACTCCTAACAAAGCTGCATTTTTAATAAATGTATAAATAATTAATTCTCAAAAAGGCTGCAAGTGACCATTATTAAATTGGGAGTTACTAGAAAAAAAGAGAGAAAGTTCCAATGGGTTGAAGCGTGAGAAAAAAAACTAGGCGAATAAAAAGTTTTAAGAGCATACATAGACAGATATAGTAAAAGAATGAGACTTTGCTGAATGACGAGTCAAGTAAGAATGAGTTTTAGTTAATGGAACTAGAGATAATAGCTCATCACCATGATAGTATTTGTAGAAAAAAGAAAATAATGCAACTTAACAATGATGGGAAAGAAGCTCAAGCTTAGCAGATAGCAACCCTCGAAATTAGGATCTGCATTTGGTAATGCCAACCTAGAAGTGTGTGAGACCTCGTTTCTATGTTTTATGGTGAAACCTTTATATCTAATTTTTTTTTGCCAATCTGATACTGATCTCTATTAGATTAAGGTTGGTAAATTATTGCCGACCTCGTTTTTTCCTTACTCCTCATTCCTACCTCATTCCGAGGGCTAAAATTGAGGGTTACAACTATGTTTACAATGCGTTTTTGGACCTTGTCAAGAAGAGAAAGAGCATCATAAGAAGAACCAACCCAAATATGACAACAGTATTCTATACAGGGGCGAATAAAAGGTTTGTAGAGGTGGAGAATGGAATCAGGAGTAAATGTTGAAAATGATAAAGTGAGGCAACCTTAGCAGATGCTAATTTAGCAATCAATTGTATATATAGTTTCCATGAAAGGTCAGTAGTAAACAATAATCCAAGGCAGCGTAAAGTAGAGGACTAGTGAAAGGGTTGCCATTCATTAATAATGGATGTAGACAGTATTGTGATAGTTGTTTGCAGTAAATAACTGAGTTTTGTTGGATTTAAAGTTTACAAGCCGCTGTTAGCCCCAACCTGTTACAGAAGTGATATCAACTTCAAGATTGGCTGCCTGTTCTAAGCAATCAAAAAGAGAAGACTTTTTGTCAAGACAGGAATAAAAAGTTTAGTCATCAGCAAAAAGAGTTACTTTAGATGTAAGGCTGTCAGGAAGATCATTAATGTAGATAAAAAACAAAACAGGCCCAAGGATAGAACCTTGAGGTACTCCAGAAGATACTGAAAATGAAAAAGACTGTTAGCCTTTGGGGATGACTTTAATTAAGTGGTTAGAAAGAAATGATTTGATATAGTTTGATCTCAACAACTTTCCCAGATACATCAGACAACGCCTTTTTTTATATAACTATTTTATATATTTCTAATTTTTTAACAATGAGACATATTTCTCAAAATATTTCTAAATTACATGAATCTTGATTTTACAATGGTTTGGATATTTAATTATACTACCACAAGGAATTTTTGTAATCAACAGTATTTCCAAAGCCAATTGCAATGAGTGCTATGCTGACATTTTTTTTTTAGTATAGAATGTTTTATAACTGTTAGATGTAAATCATGGTTATAACATAATTGTGGATTAGCAGGAGACAATTTCCCTAATTTTTTCATATCAGACAATCCCTAACTCAATCCCTACAATATGTTTTTCTGAGCACAGATCAAAGATTTTTAATTTTTCTTCCAATATTTCTAACTTCTTTTCTGCTGTAAAACTACCTTCAATATATATTAAATCCAGATTGTACAAATCTAGAATTAGAGTTTACATATTAATGAACATCCATAAATCTTTTATATTTAAGTTCATTCATCGATTGACACATTAAACATTTTCTTTTCCTCTTTTAAATTCAAAATATTTTTTACTAGCTCCTTTTTCTTAATAGAATAATAATTTTTCCTAATATAATAAAAATCTTGAATCCTCTTGCAGTCATACTATGTCCTATAAATTCATTTTTAGGTATCTGGTTAAAAGAAAATCTATCTACAGCCGCCATTTTAGATATTAATTCCTCTAGAGTTGCCTGTTTTAGGAATGGTAAAACTATATACTACTAAATTGTTGTTTTTACTTGTTGGCAAGATGTCAATAAGGATGATGTGAATCAAGTGTTTTTGACATCGGCTTCTTTCCTTTGGAATTCAGGGACATCTTACAGATGTTGGTGTAGGCCAGTAGTAATTTTTTGCATAATAGTTATTTACTGCAAATGTTGCATATAGCATAATCTGGATTACGTTCTTTCTTTTTAAAATAATTCTGCACATCTTTATATGTTTTGCTCATTTCTGTTGATAAAATACTAAATATATAAATTAAATATTTAAATAGCAAGAAAAAATCTATGGAAAGTTAGATTAGGTAAGTATGATGGGTTTACTAAGTTTTAGTAAACCCAACATACTAACCAATTGTACCAACTTTTTTTAGGATTTATTTAATCTTTTAATGGTAATTAGCAGAATTGCATAAATAAAAAATTTTTATTGACACTTATTATCAATAGTTATCAAATCATACAAAATACTATGTTATGCTAAACTATATACCTAACACCTATAACCTAACTCTTTGCAGATATTTTATAACTATAGTTTAAGAATTTTGAGTTCTTTTTTTTCCGCACAAAATATTATTTATTAAATCATTAATAATTACTTTACAATCACTAAAACATAAACATACACACATGACAACAACAAACACTTGCAATATTTATTCACCAAGTTTACTTTACGTGCAATATTTACATGAAGTATAATATTCAAATTTTCATTTTCTTGAGTAATATTGATTAATTTTCTTTGTGATAGCCCTTGGGTAGAAATTTTTCTTCTTCCTGCTGACAAATGTGCTTCTTACATAACTTTGTGGATTCAGGCTGGCATGGAATCTTTTATTCCCTCTCAACCATTCCAGGTCAAGCCTCACTCTTATTTATGGTTTTCCTCACATTGTGCTGCTGTAATTTCCAATCGAAACCGTTATTTCCATATCTATCAGCAAAACAATTCCGAGAAAACAGACATCGTTTGCTATTGCTAGAAACCATTCTAAAAAGGTTTTGTCTAACGCCAAAGCTTGCTATTTTCAGGTCATAAAATTTCGTATTTCTTCACAAAAATTAGGCTCTTGTGACTTCTGGAGAATTAAATCAAGAAGGCAAATCTGTAATTCCACCTCTCTTGTATGGTTCAGACTTTGTCACCTCACCTAAAGGCAAAGCTGAGTTGCTTACTTAGAACTTTTCATTAATATCATCTCTTGATTCCACTTGTTGGATTCTACCTGATATAGCCGTCAAACAGGTTGATCCTTTGCTTGACATTCGTATTACTCCAGCTTCTGTATAAAAAGAGATTTTCTGCTTAGACTCTTCTACAGCTTGTGGTCCAGACAACATACTTGTTGTAGACTTGCAGAATTGTTCTTCGGAGCTGTCATCCATACTTTCAAAACTATTCAACAAGTGCTTATCAGAGTCTTGTTTTCCAACCTGCTTGAAACCAGCATTTGTTATCCCTATTTTCAAAAATTTTGGAGAGCGGTCTGGCTCCTCTAACTACCCTCCCATTAGTTTTCTTCTTTTCATAAGCAAGGTTTTTGAGTGTTAATTAACAAAAACTTAATCTCTTATCTTGAATCTAATAACTTTCGTTCTTCTCGTACTACTGCTGATTTGCTAACAGTAATAATTGATAGGTTTTATCATACATTAGGCAGAGATGGAGAGCTTAAGGCTATTGCTCTTGACATTTCTAATGCTTTTGATAAAGTTTAGCAAGCTGGTCTTCTCCATAAGGTTCCTTCTTACGGTGTATGGTAACATCTTTAAGATAATCAAGTCCTTTTTTTCCAATTGTAGTATAAAAGTTGTCCTCGATGGAAAGCACTCTTCTTCATATTCTGTTACTTCAGGTGTTCCTCAAGGTTCAATCCTTAGCCCTATACTGTTTTTAATTTACATTAAAAATCTTCCAGATATTCTTACATCTAAGGTGGCATTGTTTGCTGATGACACTACCATTTATTCTTGTCATAATAAGAAGCCAACACTCTCTGATTCCTTGGAGGAGGCATCTGAGCTTGAAAAGGACCTCACTTTTGCAACAGTATGGGGCTCACAGTGGATGGTGAACTCGAATTCAGATAAAACTCAATTTTTTTCAGTCGTTCATTATTGCAATAATTTAGATCTTCCTATATTTATGAAAGGTAATGTACTTTATGAGTCATCTTCCCCTCATCTTCTAGAACTCTTACTTATGATCTTTCTTGGAAACCACATATCAAATTGATTGCAAAAATAGCATTTATTAAGGTTGCATCTCTTCATCTGAAGAGCTAGCGTCTCTTATCCAATCTACTGAAATTCATTTTTGTGTTACTCATCATTCAGTTAAGTCTCATTCTTTTTCTGTTACTGTTCCTAAGTGCTCCAAAAACTCTTATTTGCCTAGTTTTTTTCCTTGAACATTCTTTGGAATTTACTTCATCATATTTTCCTGATTCATATAATATACTTTTAAAAAATATAAACTCTTTTAAGTTGTCTATTGATAGACAACTTAAAAGAGCTATCTTTTAAGTTGTCTATCAATTGTTATCTTGCTCTACAAACTTCATCTTTTCTCTCCCAGTAACTTCCTACTCTTATAGTGGTTGCTTGCAGCCTTGTTGGAAACAAAGATCTAAAAAAAAATATGTAAAAATTCAGAATTGGATAGGCTGATCCAATGCACATGTAAATGCACTGCTCGTGCATTTACATGTGCACTTCTTCAGATTGAGTTCTATCAAGTTCAAGAGTACAACAAAGAATTTAAAAATAAATTAACATAGAAATGCCTCCAAAAAAAGAGAGTTTTTAATTTTAAATGCAAATGTTAATAATGAGAAATCTGATTCAGATAGTGAAACTGGGTGGAAAAATGTCAAGATGTATGAACCAGATGTATAAACTGTGTGAAAAAATGTGGGAAAAAAAAAAACAATATATTTTGATATAGGTATGAACCAATAAAAAGATGAAGTTTATGTTATAAAAATCAAATGCATTTAGAAATAATACAAAAGCTACATTTCATACATTGATATAATTTTTCTATGTTTTTTACTTGTATTTTTATAAAAACCCACCATGTTTAACTTTTTTTTTTTTTGATATGTTAAAAAGATTTTGATATAAACTGTTTTATTATTGTAACAGGTTTTTGCGTGTTTTTTACTGTTTTAAATGTTTCTTTATTGTATCGTGTTTTTATTGTTTTAAATGTTTCTTTATTGTAACATGTTTTTATTGTTTTAAATGTTTCTTTATTGTAAATGTGTTTTTATTGATACCGTGTTTTTATTTATAAATCCTGTGTTTTTATTTGTTTGTTTTTTAGTTATATATACAAATAACACTTATCAAACCATCTGTTTTTGACAAAATTTTAGATGCAAAACAGAAGGCATTAAAATTCAAGGAAGAAGAACGCAAAAAAAAAGCAAAGTTTCGAGAAGAGGTGCATTATATTTTTATAAAAACACAAATTTTTTGTTTTTTCACCTTTTTTATTTAATTTAAATAATATTGTGAATGTGAAAATAAAACAACAAAATAAATAATATAAAGTAAGTAGAATTTATTATACATTATTAAATTTAAACTATTATAAATTAGATAATTCTCTATATTATTAATAAATTTATCAAAATTTTGTTTACTGCAAAATAAAATATATATGTGATATATTTTACTTTTAATATATTTGTAATATATTTTACTTATTATTTATATTATAATGGTTTTTATTAGATAGAGTTGCGCATAAACACGTTTATACAAGGTCCCACAAATGTTAAAAAGTTGGTGTTTGAACCTATGAATGCCACACTTCGGAGTATCGTGTATAATATTTTTATTATTTTAAGAATTAAGAATTATTAAGTAATAAGTAGTAGTTATAAATATAGTAGTGAATAATTAATTTATGCATCTTATAAATTATGTTTTCTAACAAAAAATAATTTCATTCAAGTTACATCAGGAAATTTTATTCTAATTAATCTCACTCAAGTTAAATCAAGAAAGTTTTGTCAATATGGTACATATCCTTTATTTTATTGAAATTTTTAGAAAAGAGAAACAAATATATATATATATATATATATAATATTTTTATATTTGACATAAAATTTAATGAGTAATACAGTTATAGTTTCAAATTTTATTTAGGTACAGAAGCAATCTTAGCCATCTTTCCACTTACCATATTTCATCATAACCATCTTTTCTATTATTCTGATTTGATTTGAAAAACAATTATATTACCAGTTTTTACCAATAATAAATGTTTTATGTTAAGTTAAAGTTATTAACCATATTTTAAAACATAATTTAGATAAAGTCTTGCATATCATGCAAATGCATTTTTTGCAAATCCTTTTATATGTGATTATGACTTTTTTTGTAATAATAAATTGCTTCAATTGAGAAATTGTAACAAGTAATACCCCAAGAAATCATTCTAGCACAAAAAAGTATTATTTGTCTGCAACCAGCCAAGGAAAAAAAGTTTTAGAGAATTTCTATAAACTTTTCAAACATAGAATTTCTCTAGAATTTCTATAGAATGTTAATTTCTCTTGAACTTTTTTTTTTTTTTTATAGAAAAAATAGTTTTATAGCGCTTTATATAGAAATTAATAGACATTTTATAGAATGTGTATTAATTTCTATAGGCCATATGTTTCAAAAGTTTATAGAAATTTTATAGAATTTTTTTCCTGGGAGTACACAAAATGAATCAAAATTATTTACTGCTTAAACAAAAGTTTTTTATAATTACCTGTTTTTTTTTCACTGTAAACTAGTAACTCTGTGTTTTCTCTAAATTCTTTTGCTTTCTTTTTTAGTCCAGACTTTAGAAATAATTTTAATGTTGAAAATAATGGAGTTAAAACTATTAAAACTGAAAAATTGTTTAAGACTACTAAACTGCTATATTCAAATTTTCCAAGAATTATATTCTAAACTTCCAAAAATTACTTATATTCTAAATTTCCAAGAATTACTTATATTCTAAACTTCCAAGAATTACTTATATTCAAAACAAGTACAATATAACAATATAAAATTAATTAAGAATTTCTTTACTTCCAATATTAAAATTGTAATTGCAGTTAAAGAAATATGTAAAGGTCTTCTGGTATATATACTAGTGTTTATCTTCAATAAAACAGCCAAGGAAACTTCATAAATAAAAGAGAGGAAATGTGAGGGAATAATCTGTACAATTTATGTTTCTTGGCAGATGAGAGAATAGAGTTTGCTAAATTGTCTTATTGAGCAACAGATTGTCATTGTTTCAATGTCTTTATCATTGGAAGAGGTTTAAATAAGTCAGTAATAAGTCAGAAATAAGTCAGAAATAAGTCAGAAATAAGTCAGAAATAAGTCAGTAATAAGTCAGAAATAAGTCAGAAATAAGTCAGTGATTTTTATACTCAGGAGATTTTTATAGAAACGGAAGAACAAACATTTCAAACTTTTTGAAATGTTTGTTCTTCCGTTATTGATTTTAATTACTTTAGGATTAAAATTACAAATGTATGGTTTAAGAGTAAAATTAAAAATGTATGGTTTTAAGATTACAAATTTATGGTTTAAGATAACAAATTTATAGTTTTACATACACTGGTTTTGCCAGTGTAACAATTTTAATTTTTAATTTGTTTAATTTTTAATTTAAGTTTTTAATTGTTTAATGCATTTAGAGAAACTGATAGAGACACTTAAAGAAAAAAAAAGTATTTTTCTCAGTTTAACTTTATAAGTTAAACTGACAAAAATTGGTAATTTTTTTTCTCAGTATTTTATTGATAGTGGTTTTATTAGCTTTAAAACATTTCAAGATTTGCATTTTAAATTTTTTTAAAAATAAGTTTTAGGTTAAAGTTTTTAAATTATGTTTTTTTGTTATCATGGTAAGAGTTAGACCAAAACTGATTTCTAAAAAAAAATTGTAGTTTTATAAAAAAAATACCATCATTGAGTAACAAATAACAATATTTATTAAACTTTTTAATATTATGACGTTAGCTTCAGCTTTTATATTACTATACAAAGTTACTATACAACATCACTATACAACATTACTATACAATATTACTATACAACATTACTATACAACATCACTATACAACATTACTATACAACATTACTGTACAACATTACTATACAACATTACTATACAACATCACTATACAACATCACTATACAACATCACTATACAAAATCACTATACAACATTACTATACAACATTACTATACAACATCACCAGTAATGTTGTATAGTAATGTTTTATAGTAATGTTGTATAGTAATATTGTATAGTAATGTTGTATAGTAATGTTTTATAGTAATGTTGTATAGTAATGTTGTATAGTAATATATAGTAATGTTGTATAGTAATGTTGTATAGTAATGTTGCATAGAGTGATGTTATATAGTAATGTTGTATAGTGATGTTGTATAGTAATATTGTATAGTAATGTTATATAGTAAAACTATACAACATCACTATGCAACATTACTATACAACATCACTATGCAACATTACTATACAACATCACTATACAACATTACTATACAACATTACTATATATTACTATACAACATCACTATACAACATCACCATACAACATCACTATACAACATCACTATACAACATTACTATATAACATCACTATACAACATTACTATACAACATTACTATATATTACTATACAACATTACTATACAACATTACTATACAATATTGCTATACAACATCACTATACAACATTACTATACAACATTACTATATATTACTATACAACATTACTATACAACATTACTATACAATATTGCTATACAACATTACTATATAACATTACTATATATTACTATACAACATTACTATACAACATTACTATACAATATTGCTATACAACATCACTATACAACATTACTATACAACATTACTATATATTACTATACAACATTACTATACAACATTACTATACAATATTGCTATACAACATCACTATACAACATTACTATACAACATTACTATATATTACTATACAACATTACTATACAAAACTATACAACATTACTATATAACATCACTATACAACATTACTATACAACATTACTGTACAACATCACTATACAACATCACTATACAACATCACTATACAACATCACTATGCAACATTACTATACAACATCACTATACAACATTACTATACAACATTACTATATATTACTATACAACATCACTATATAACATCACCATACAACATCACTATACAACATCACTATACAACATTACTATATAACATCACTATACAACATTACTATACAACATTACTATATATTACTATACAACATTACTATACAACATTACTATACAATATTACTATACAACATCACTATACAACATTACTATATAACATCACTCTATGCAACATTACTATACAACATTACTATACAACATTACTATATATTACTATACAACATTACTATACAACATTACTATATATTACTATACAACATTACTATACAACATTACTATAAAACATTACTATACAACATTACTATACAATATTACTATACAACATTACTATAAAACATTACTATACAACATCACTATACAACATCACTATACAACATTACTATATAACATCACTCTATGCAACATTACTATACAACATTACTATACAACATTACTATATATTACTATACAACATTACTATACAACATTACTATAAAACATTACTATACAACATTACTATACAATATTACTATACAACATTACTATAAAACATTACTATACAACATCACTATACAACATCACTATACAACATTACTATATAACATCACTATACAACATTACTATACAACATTACTATATATTACTATACAACATTACTATACAACATTACTATATAACATCACTATACAACATTACTATATATTACTATAAAACATTACTATACAACATCACTATACAACATCACTATACAACATCATTATACAACATTACTATACAACATCACCATACAACATCACTATACAACATCACTATACAACATTACTATACAACATCACTATACAACATTATTATACAACATTACTATATATTACTATACAAACATCACTATACAACGTCACTATACAACATTACTATACAACATCACTATAAAACATTATTATACAACATCACTATACAACATCACTATACAACATCACTATACAACATCACTATACAACATCACTATACAACATTACTATATATTACTATACAACATCACTATACAACATATATATTAATGTTGTATAGTGATGTTGTATAGTAATGTTGTATAGTGATGTTATATATATATATTACTATACAACATCACTATACAACATTACTATACAACATTACTATACAACATTACTATACAACATCCCTATACAACATTACTATATATTACTATAAAACATTACTATACAACATCACTATACAACATCACTATACAACATATATAGTAATGTTGTATAGTGATGTTATATATATATATATTACTATACAACATCACTATACAACATTACTATACAACATTACTATACAACATTACTATACAACATCACTATACAACATTACTATATATTACTATAAAACATTACTATACAACATCACTATATAACATCACTATACAACATTACTGTACAACATCACTACACAACATTACTGTACAACATCACTATACAACATTACTATATAACTTCTGTACAACATTACTATAATAACTTCTGTATGACATTACTATACAACGTTACTGTACAACATTAAACATTTTTATATTCCAACTACAATTTCAAAATTTTCTAATCTTAAACAAGTTTTTAGTTTTTTAGATATTTTGTTTACAATATGTGATCAAAAAAATATTTTTTTTATTGATGGGTACCTTTCCCAGGAAAAAAGTTTTATAGAATTTCTATAAACTTTTGAAACACGGCCTATAGAAATTCTATAGATATTTTATAGAATTTCTATAGAATGTCTATTAATCTTTTTTCTATTAAAAAAAAAAGTAGAAAAAAAAGTTCTATAGAAATCAACAGAAATTCTATAGAATTTTATAGAATTTCATGTTTCAAAAGTTTATAGAAATTCTATAGAACTTTTTTCCTGGGTTGTGTAATTGTAAATGCTATTATAAAATTTAAATTAACATAAAAAAATGAAATTTTAATTTTTAAAACTTTTTTTTTTCAAATTCATTTGTTTAAAAACTGTTCAAGTGCATTTGTTCTTAAAAATTTAAACTAAAATGTTCGAATGGTGTAAGTGTCCATTTTTTTGGCAATTGCAAAAACCTGACTAAGTGCAAAATGATGTGCATCAAATGGTTATAATGAAAAAGCAATCCATCTAAAACCTAATAATAAAAATACATTTTTCTGTGAGTGTTTTTAACTATCAGTTATTTGTAGTTTTTCATAAAAGTTTTATGCAAAAGTTGTTTTCATAAAAGTTTTATGCAAAAAATTTTTTAGCCCATGATTTGTGCAATGTTTTCCACTAATTCAGGTTTGCCCTTGTGGGATTCAGACATCAGCTCAATTTCATCCAATAAATCTTTAATTAAAGTTTTAATATGATAATTAGTGCAATTGATGAAAGTGAATATTTACAGCACCAAATTTCCATGGAAAATTTTCCATTAGCATTTTACTTACATTTTGAGCTTTCCATTTTTTTTTTTTTTTTTTTTTTTTTTTTTTTTGTCATCAGCAAAAACAATGGATTGAACTAATAAAAATAACTTGCTTAAACAAAGCAAATTAAAGTTCTATTTCATGTAAAATTAATCACTTAAAATATCCCCTTAAAGAGAAAGTTCTTTTATTAACAAGTTGCTGGTCTGCCTAGAGATATACATTTCTTAGCGTAAAATTTATAATTTATAAAACTATGAAGTTTATAAATTGATTGACAGTGAAGATCTCTTTAAAATTTGATCATGCCCAATCTAAGTTGAAATTTTAAACACAAAAAACCACCACCTAACAGTTATCAATATATTTATATATTGATAATTGTTAGATGGTGATAATTATTTTATTTATATGTTTCAATATATCTTTCACAAACATTTGTGGTCTTTAAAGTAAATTTCCATCAGTTGAGTTTTACCTCTTGCAAAAATCACTAGATTTACTTGCTTTATGTAAGACCAATTTAAATTCCGCTGTTCCTTCAGATTTAAGTATTGATGGGTACTATCTTTTGATTTGCTAAGACTCTAATAGTCACATGCTTGGGATATACTTATGCATCAATTCACCTTTTTCTCAAGATTTCAGGTTTGAATCCTCTGACCATTCTTTTTGTGCTTCTGCTTAGTACTTCTTCACTCTTCAGTCTTCTTTATCATTCTCTTTTTTTTCAAGATTTCAAGATTACTCTTTTTGATGTAATTTGTGATCAAATTGACCTTTCTCTTTACCCTTTTGCCAATATTGTTGTAATTCGTGACTCTAATGATCATTACACTGAATGGTTTGGCACTAACACCACTGACCCTGCTGGCACTAAAGCCCATAACTTCTTTATTTCTCAATCTCTTACTCGGACAGTCAATTTTAAACTTAATCACTTATCTTTGTTCCTTGATTTGTGTCTTGTCTCTGACCCTAGCTTGTGTTCAGTTTCTTCTTGTTCTCCTTTAGGTGGTACCGACCATGAAATGATCTCTATAACTCTTACATCTCATACTCCTTTTTTGGACTCAATCCTACTTACTACTACCATAAAGCTGACTGGGATTCTTTTCTTGATTTTCTTTGTTACAGTCTTTAGTCTAATAATTTTTCTCTCTCTGCTGATGCACCTTCTTTGTAACATCCTGGATTAATACTGGTATGAAAGCTTTTATTCCTTCTTTTCAGTTTTAAGTCAAGCCTCACTCTACTTCATGGTTTTCTTCTTCTCGTGCCACTGCTATATCTAAGCAAAATAATTTTTTTCATCTTTTTCAAAAGAACAACTCTTTTAGGAGTTACACTAAGCTTCATTATTCCCAGTTAACTAAATCTTGTTTCATTATTCCAAGTTAACTAAATCTTAATTCATTATTCACAGTTAACTAAATCTTGCTTCATTATTCTCAGTTAACTAAATCTTGTTTTATCTCAGAAGTTAGGCTCTAAAGACTTCAATAGCATCATTAACAAAATTAAGTCTAATCTCTAATCTCTAGGACTAATTCTAGTCTCTAGGACTGATCTTATTACATCCAAGAAAAAGGCAGAACTACTTGCAAACAACTTCTTTTCTACTTTGAATCTTAGATCTTATGGCAATACTCTTCCTGCCATTTTAGGTTAATCCATTGTTGGACATTCAAATTACTTCAGCTTCTGTTGCTTAAGGCATATCTCAATTAAACTATTCTATGGCTTGTGGTCAACATTCCTGTTATAGACAACATTCCTGTTATAGTCTTGCAAAAGTACCTGCTGGAAAATGGCATCTGTGGTTCCAATTTTTAAAAACTGGAATGGAGAACATTCTGACCCCTGCAACTATTGTCTGATCAGTCATCTCTTTATTTTTAGCAAGATCCGTGAGTCTTTGATCAACAAATTTCTAACACCTTATTTTGAGTCAAATAACTTACTGTCTGGCAAACAATGTGGATTTTAATCTTCTTGTTCTATGGCTGATTTGCTAACTGCTATGACTGAAGGATTCTATTGTGCATTAGATGGAAAAAAAGTCTTTTGTTATCAATCTGATCTCACATTTTTAATTTTAGCTTCAATAAAATTCAGTTGTTTACTACAAACAACTATCACAACACTGTCAACATTCCTATATTAATGAACAACAATCCTCTCACTGAGTCCCCTTATTTATGTCTTCTTGGATTATCACTCACTACTGACTTCATGGAAACCATATATACAATTGATTACAAAGTTTCTCCTTACTTAAAGTTCGCATCTGCTTACTTAAAGCTTGCATCTGCTTACTTATATCGTACCATTATCTTACTCCTAATATCATTCTCTACAAATCTCTTACTTGTCCCTGTATGAAGTAATATTGCCATAATTGGGCTGGTTTTTTTAACGATGCTCTTTCTCATTTAAACTTGATCCAAAAGTGTTTCAATATATCTTTCAGGTCTAACTAGAGCCATTGTGGATCTAGTTGGATCTGCTTTGTCTGCTAGGCTCAAGCCTCTCTCCTATTGTTGTAAAGGCGCTTTATCTCTTTCTCTTTTAAACAAATACTATTATGGTTGCTGCTCAAAGGAGGTATCATCTCTAGTTCCATCAACAAAAACTCATTCTCACTTGAAATTTTCATTGCAAAATCACATCTTTTTATTATATCTATCTCTGCATGCTCTAAAAACCTTAAATCATCTAGCTTTTTTCCCTGCATTTCAACCCTTTGGAATTCTCTGCCATCTTCATGTTTTCTTGACTAATACAATCTACAACTTTTCAAGTTTTCTGTCAACTGTTTCAGTGCTCTTTAACTCTATGCTTTGTTTTCTATTAACTCCAAACTTAATGGTTGCTTGCAGCCTTTTTAAGATAATGGTTGCTTGCAGCCTTTTTGAGAGTTAATTATTTATACATTTATTAAAAATGTTCCTTGAAATCTAGTTTTGTTAATAAATAAAGAAACTCAGTAATTGAATCTTATTATTTAAGGTTCTCTTTACCATTAATCTTTTTTTTTTGTAATAATTAGTATATACTAATTATATATTAACTAATTTTTGTTTGATTAATTTTTTAAAAAGTAATCATTAGGTATTTCAGAAATTTTCACATTTAATAAAGTTTTTTTTTACATTAAAGAGCACAGTGTTAAATCTAAAAATAATAAAAAATTGAGATTTTCACAACACTCTCCAGAACAATTACTTAAACTCTACTTTCCAAATGAAAAATGGGATTTCTGCACTAAGCTATAATATAAATAAAAATAGAATATATTCAATTATAATATATATATATATATATATATATATATATATATATATATATATATATATATATATATATATATATTCTATTTTTATTTATATACACACAAACACATATCACACAGACACACACACACTATTTCTACCAAAATTAAATTACAACTTTTTTTTGAAGGCATGATGTTGCTGAAGTAGCTGGTTTGCTTTCATACAGCTTTGGGGAAGAGGATTTTGATAGACATCTTGTTGTTTGGAAAAAGGCAATTTTTTCTTTCTTTTGTATTTTCTTTGTTTTTTACCCATTGGTTTGTTTTTTATTATTTTTTTTCAAAAAATTTGTTTTAAAAAATTGTAAGTGATTGAATTAAATTGAACAATTATTATCTTTAAATAAAAAAAAAATTTCTATAAGTTTTCTTGAAAAAAAGTTATAACTGTTGTATGCAAAACATCGAAAATCAGTTTAAACTTGATTTATATATATGTACTTCATTCCATTAGTTCATGTCAGTCCATCGTCCAACAACTATTATCCAATAATTTTTATCCAGCATCCATCATACAGAAATATTAAGTTTCCTCAAACCTATTCTTTAAATGTTTTTTTTGTTAAAAGCAAATTTTTTTATATAGGAATACTCTCCATCAGATGTTGAATTAGAGGCTTTAAGAAATGGTTTGGTAATTAAAATTTTTTATTTGTATTTGTTACACTAATGTTTTCTCATTAGTTGTCATTAAAAATATATAAGTATTAATAATAATAATCCTGAAATAAGTACTTATAGTAAAAATTAAAACTTTTTACTCTTAATTTAGGAATATAATGAAGAAATTGCTGTAAAACTGATAGATTCTCAAGTAAATTATTTTTCAAAATATATAAATTGATAGGTTCTCAATTAAGTTGTTTTTTATAATATACGTAAACGTGTTGTATACGTGTTCTATTTCACCTATGTTAAAAAGTTGCATACATATTCTTTTTTATCTATGCTAAAGAGTTGTATATGTATATGTATATGTATTCTATTTTATCTATGCTAAAACTCTTTTGTTAAAGAAAATTTAAATAAATAAAAAAATATGCTCTCTGCAATTTTTTAAGTTATAAATGTTATTGTTTAATATTGAATTTTAATTACAATGGTTTAAAGCATTTTGAATTTTTACACTTAAATTAATGAATGTTAACACTTAAATTAATGAATGTTAACACTTAAATTAATGAATGTTAACCATTTAAGTTTCAAACATAGTTCAAACACTATTTTTATTATTATTTTTTAGAAATATAGATAGCAACTCCATCGGCTCTTCTACCATCACTTCTGTCTCATCTATATAACAAATAGTTTTTTATATTGGAAACTTTTTTGCATAATAGATACTGCTTTAATAACTTGTTAAAAATAAAAATAACTTGTTCTTCCAGATTTTATAAGTTTTTTGTTACCCAGTCTTTAATGAGCAAGGCAGGTTTTTCTTTGGTATTTTTTTATTTATTTAGCTGATTCTTGAACTTTATGAGCCATTTATCAAGATTGACCATTGTAGGTTTTTCATTGGGATGATTAGTTTTTTGAATTATTACAGAAACTGTTATAGCTTTGGTTAGATACCAATATTTTATAAGAAAATAAGAAATACTCTAGCGTTTTTCTAAGAAAATAAAAAATTCATCTTGTGTTGAAAATAAGAAATACATCTTGTGTAGAAAATAAGTAATATATCTTGCGTTCATCAAGAAATATATCTTGTGTAGAAAATAAGAGATATATCTTGTGTACATCAAGAAATACTCTTGTGTTTTTGTAAAAATTCTTTATTAAGAGTTTTAAGTAAAAATACCAAAGTTTTATTCTAAAACATTATTTTTTAAACATTATTTTTTAACAAATTATGTTTAGAGTTTATGTAAAATATTCACATTATTTTATAGCCAAAACCTTATCTTTTCAAAATCAAATTTTGAAAAATCAGAAAAATGTTTTAGAATTCCAAATCCACTCTATCTGGAGATGAACAAGTTTCAAGAAAAAGACAAAATGTAACTGCTGAACCTGAAAAGTACTTTGAAAAGTATGCAAAAATAGTTGGTGAAGACAGTGGTTTAAATGCTGCTGTTGCTACAAAATCTAATAAAGCATATGGAATGGGTATGAACTTCAAATATAAATTTTTTTAAATTTATTTTATGGTTAAAAATGATTGTTAGTTAGGTTTATGCAAATTTAATGATTTGCATATTAGGTCTTTATACTTTTTTTTGGGATCAAATAGGATGAAATAATAACAATAACAAAAAATGGCATGTTGATTGCTAGCATTATCAAAAGAAAAAAGAGATGCTAATATGAAAATAAAACCCTGTGCCGAGGAGAAACTTAAATCACTGACATGCTTGGACAGAGCATTAAATGATTGCAACTGTGAATGAAATTTTCAATTAACAATTTTTTATAGTATTGAGTTATTCTTAATATAACATAATATTAATATAAATATTGTAAAGCGCTGAAAATTAGGGGATGTAGAGTTAAAAAATGTTGGCGCTATGATAACTATTTAGAATTAAGTAGTGGATATATGGTGATCTCTCATCCTCAGGGGCGGATTGCAATCACCATTGATGGGAGATCAAGCCCTGCATTAATGCCACTCGTCAATAGATTGCAGATTGACAACAGAACTCACTGCCTTCATGCTAAAAAAAATTTTTAACTATTTTTTTCCTCAAAAATTGGTGTTTTGGAATTTTCTCCACTCTTCATGCTTTAACTCTCTACTTTGTTTTCTGTTAACTCCCAATTTAATTAGTGGTCACTTCCATGTTGGAAGTAAATTTAATTGAATATACAACAACATAATGAAGTTATTGCAAGATTAGTTTGACAAAAGACAATTTGATAAAAAGTTCTTTTATAAAAAATCTCTAATATAAAATACAATTTAATATAAAATCTTCTGATAACCAAAAATCCATCAACATAATTTTTAATAATTTATTTTAAAATTTAGTAATTTCTTATTTTAAAGAATAAAAACAAATAACAATATGGGAACATGTCTTGCCAAAAAATAATATTTCAATAATAATATCTATGTAACCAATGGTATCAAACTCATTCATTTTTGTGTAATTTTTTGAGTAGGAATTATGCTATAACTTGTACAACCAGGTTTATAAACAATAATACTTTTTAAAACTTTTTCTAAACTTCTACTTTTTTTAAAACCTTTACTAACTTAACTAGTGTTTTCTGAGGCCAAATGTTAAGCAGAACTCAATTCTGGAAAAATATTGCAGCTATGATGACAATCTAGGTTAGAAAAAATTGTAGTAATGATGACAATGTAGGCTAGAAGAAATTGCAGCTAGAATGACAATGTAGGCTAGAAAAAATTGTAGCTAGAATGAAAATATAGGTTAGAAAAAATCAAGATGACAGCAAAAACTTTAAAATTAAATGATTTAGTTTGACAGCACTGAAATAAAATAAAACCAAATTACTAGTATAAATTTTTTTTTTTATTGTTTAATTTTTAATTTTGAACAGTAAAATTAGTATGATGTTTATTGAAGTAAACATAAATTAACTGAACAACATATTAATTAACTAATCAACATATTAATTAAATATTTACTTGTCTTTTTTTGTTTATGCTATCACATTCCAAAATCTTTTTTTGTTACTGATTACCATAGGTGCATTTGCCATAAGGCAAATCTAGGCAACTGTTCTTTTATAAAAAATTTCTAATATAAAATCTTCTGATAATCAAAAATCCATCAAAATAGCTTTTAATAATTTATATTAAAATTTAGTAATTTTGTATTTTAGTAAATATAAAAACAAATAACAATAACTTTCAATATGTGAACAAGTCAACAAACTATATTTCAATATTAATATCTATTGTAACCAATGGTATCCAACTATTGTAACCAATGTTGTCCAACTCATTCATCTTTGTGTAACTTGTTGAGCAGGAGTTATGCGATATCTTGCACAGCTTATAAACAATACTTTTATATCTTGCACAGCCAGGCTTATAAACAATACTTTTATAAAGACTTTTTAAATGATTCATATGGAATATATTTTTATAAGTAAACATATTAATTATTAATTAACTGAACAACATATTAATCAAATGATGTTTACTTTCATTTTGCTATTTATGCTATCACATCCCAGAATCTTTTTTGTTACAAATTGCCATAGGTGCATTTGCCATAAGGCAAATCTAGGCAACTGCCTAGGGGCACCAACCAAAAAAGGAGCGTAATTTTTTACTTTCTTTAAAAAATTTTTCAGACATTTTTTTATCACATTATCAAAGTTAATTTTGGACTTTAAGTTGTTAAATTTGAACTTTTTAAAACTATTTTTTTGATAATTTATTAAAATTGTTTAAAATTAACAATTTTAAGCAACAATAATGACAAAAAAATATAAAAAATATTCTACAATGTCAAATAATGGGAATTACACTTTAAACAAAGAAATTCCAATTTATAAAGCCCCTGGATAAAGATCTAAAAATATGGATTTTTTTTTATATAATGCTCTTCTAACAGTGAAACCAATGTCAATAGAGTGCATTTTCAACATCATTAATTTTCAACAATTAATGAATGTCAGGGTGTCAAAATTAAAAACAAGTATGAAAAGCAAATCTATAGTTAAAAACATGCAACAAATGAAAATTGTCTGATTTTGAATGTTTTTGGTTTTTAGTTATTTTTCTGCCCCCTGTTTGATTTTTAATGTTTTTGATTTGAAAAAGTTTTGGCTTTTTTATGTTTTTGCTTGTTTTGTTTTTTTTATTCTAAAAAACCTTTTTTAGTTTTTTATTGCATACTTTTAATTAGTTCATTAAAAGTAAAAATAAAAATAGAAAATTCAGGTTAAGAAAAATCTCAAATTAAAGAAACCTTGTTTATTTTGAGATTTTGTGTTTATTTTACAAGAAATTTATTTACACAATATTTTGTCACTCTTGAGACTGCCAGGGTTTTAGTTTTTTATTCTAGTTTTTTTTGTTGTTGTTTAATTATTATTATTGGGTTTGGTAAAGTATTTTAAAATAATTTTATAAATTGAAACTAACTTTTAAACACATTTTTTTTTTTTAACAGATTTAACCTATAACATAACTTATGAAGAAGGTGGGACACAGTGGGAGTTTTTTTATCAGAAGGCGAATTCTAAATTTGATTAAAAACGATTCCAATCAATAAAAAATCTTAACACATAAGTTATTACATTGTTGTCATGATAAATTAAAGTATTAATATGCACCATAATTCTCAAGTAGAAAGCAAAACTTATGTAAAAAAACCGATTATATTGAAAACTTCTTTGAAAAATTAAAGTTTTCAAAAAAAAAGAACAAGGTTATTTTAAAACCATCCTTTACAAAATTTAAGTCTTAGTTTACAATTTATTTTCATTGGTTGGTTATTCATCTTGCATTTGCAAAAAATTTTTAGAAAGGGCTCTTTGACCAGTTTTTCTAGCATGGCATGATAAAGTCGAATCCTGAATAACAGGATCACTGATTTCTAAAGGTCGATTGAAGAGATCCTCCATCTGTTGTTTCCATGATGTTTTTCTTGTGTGATGGAGCCTAAAATTTCTAGGAACTTTATTGTTTCACTCTGATGCCTTTTCATTGGTCAGACCAATTAGAATTTATGATGATGTTTTGCAATGCTTCAATATTTTGTGAAGGGATGCAGGCATGTGAAACCAGTTAACTCCTTCAATCTTATTGAAGTAAATCGCAGTTGTTTCATCACAAAGTTCACAAAATTTTCAGAATTGATGTCATATTGCAAGGGCTCCCCAAATTGTGTGTGCTGAACTGGAACACCACTTATCTGAGCTTGATAATAAAGTAATTTAAAAATTGTTAATCAGTGGCAGATGTTTCAGTGTAGTTAAATAGACAATTTCAATATGTATAAACATATTTGCTTTTTGCATTTGCTTATACTAGGACTGTTTCGGATTCTTTTTAAGCAGAAAGGACTATTACATTTTACTAAAATTTTAATGAGCTTTCCGAGCTTTTCTGAGTAACATTTCCAGCTTTTGTATTTCTGGCACCTCCGTCATTTCGTTGAGCAGATTTTTAAAACCCCTCTTGGCGATACTTTCTTTTTGTATGTGACAAAAAAGTTTGCAAACGAAGTCTAAGCAGTTCAAAAGTTTTTTTGTCTGGTGTTACAACCACATTGATTTTCGAAAGAACAAAGCTTTCAAGAATGAAAAGTTGAGCTGCTCTATCTGTAAATGGTGTGCCACTTTTTCTAACAGCCTGGGTGAGGTCTGTTCGATCCTCATGATCTCTTCACGCATTTCAGCTGAAAAATTTGATCCTGAAATTGATTTGATACTATTTCAGAGTACCAAATAAAAATTGTTATTTCAATAAATAGTTAGGAGCATTCATATTTGTTACAGTTGAGTGTTAATCCACTAATATCACCAAGCAAAACAATAAAAATTGAACAACGATTTTTTGTTAAAATAAAAAATAGTTGAACAATTTATTGAATTATCTGATATGATCATATATAATTTTCAGAGATTTGGGAAGAGATCAGTAATATAAAATATTACTTATAATATTAAATATATAAAAATTTAAATTTTAACATTTAGAATATCATTCATAAATCATAGCAAGTATCACAACATTGTTTAAGTTTTATTGGGTTCTATAACTATTTCATTTTATTGTGAATAAAAGTTCTAGACTAAATAATTAGCTAAGTTGAAAAAATTTTTATTATAAATAAAACACAATTAAAAATTGTTAAAAGTTCAACTGATGCTACAAAATTTTTGTTATTTGAAAAAAAAGTTAAAAAAATTAATATCCGTAGCTTCTGCTCACAAAGGTTTTACTTTGGAAAAAACATTTTCGTTAACTGGCCACACTTCAGGTTTTTGAAAACCATTTATGACATTTGTCATTGTGGCAGCATTTAGGTAGGCTAAGCTAATAAGTGGAACTATTTGAAATTGAGTGACCACACATCCAGAATTTACTGGAGGACTTACAGGGCTTACTAAAAAGCTTTTAGCGTCTGAGTATTGAAAAAAATAAAGCAATAAATTCTATTTATAACAACAGAATAATTGAAAGTGAAAGTTTTATTTTTATTCTGTTTGAATATGTTTAGATCATTGATTTTTTTCTTTCGATGTTGTGTTGTTTTTATAAAAATTTTTTTTTTTTTTAGTTCCTAGTAAAAACAAAGAAGACAAACGTTCTATCGAGGAAACAATGAGGCAGATCCGTGACAGAAAATTACAAAAGTTATCTAATGCTGAACTAACCTGATAACTGTAGTTAAATTCATATTGCAAACGTCAACTTGTATTTGGTATTACCATTGCCTTGTACTTTTTATTGTTTCAACTTTGTCAAACTTTGTGCTCAAGCAATTGGTTAATTGAAGAAACAACTTTTTTTTAATGAAACTTGATGAACTTCTGTTGACTTTTATTTAAAACTCAGTTATTGATTTTACATACATAGAAGGAAAACTGGGGTAAAATAGGGTACTTATGGAAAAAGCTTATTTAGGGTAACAAAAATTATCAAAATCAGTACAAATTTACTTAAAAATAAAAGAATACAACATTGACCACATTGTAACTAAGCAAGAGCATCATAGAATGAAAACTTTTTAATTTAATGAAAAAATACCCCATTTTGCCGTATGCTTGAGATAGTTTTGTAATAATGAATAATGTAAACTTATGATATTATTGCCAGTTATAGCCATGGCCTAAAATAAATAATGAATAATGTAAACTTATGATATTATTGCCAGTTATAGCCATAGCCTAAAATAAATAATGAATAATGTAAACTTATGATATTATTGCCAGTTATAGCCATAGCCTAAAATAAATAATGAATAATGTAAACTTATGATATTATTGCCAGTTATAGCCGTAGCCTAAAACGTATAACAATTAATAGCCTAAACATAATTTATAGCAAGTCAGGTTTAAAGTCTAAAATAATATGTTAATAGCAGTACTAGCTAGTAGGCCAATACCGCTATATGTAAAGGCTACTGTAATATAGGTCTATTTGTCCATTTGATTGAATAAGATTACAATTAAGATAAAAGCATATTACGTGTATAATTACATGATTTAAAAGAACTACAATGTCTGGGGAAAATGTTGATGAACCCTATTTTGCCGATTGAAACTTCTTTTTACCCCATTTATTATAGTGTGGCACATTAAAATGCACACAATAAACAACAATATAAACCATCTTAAAGTGCGAAAATACAATTTTTAATAGATAGCAAGTCTATACGAATAATTGCAACACGTTTGGAGTGTAGCCTACAAATGCCTATGCAACTGTTCATAATAGTATTCAGCGCATCAAGTAACTGAACCCATCAATTCGGGAAAATACTAACCTCTCAAAAAACCAACAACATGATACGCCGGTTGGCTGTAAAAAACATACAGATTTCAAGCTCACAAACTTTTAGCCAGCTGCCTCCTAGTGTGAATGTTAGCGCCCGCATACATTTTAGTAGTTCAAATCAATGATGTCTTCATTTCAAAATTTGAGACAATTACGAAGATTTTTTTTGATAAAGACAAGGTTTTTATGCAGCATGGTACGATGAAAGATTAAAATTTTTGCCGAGGCATCTTTAAACTAAAGATACTTTGTTTGTTGCCTTAAATTTTGAAAAGAACTCATTATTTATTTCATTTCTAAAATGTAGCGACTTTTTGCTCTCAAAGCTCAAATTAAACAGATTGCAGCGCACAAAGTTAATGATAGCCGGTGTCGCGTAACAAGCTTTCCCCACATATTTTTTCCCCCAGGAAAGTATGTACCGGGACAAACTTTTCGACTCACAGGAAACTGCTTTAAACCCAGATCGTGTCTGAACTAAAAGAGTTGATTGATTGTTTTCGTTACCAAGATGTATTGAAGCCATTTTGTTGACTGCGTCAATAATTCTGTCGTTCAGCAATGCGTCTGAAGTCAGGATCTGTTTATCTTCAATGGTCAGATTGTACTTTGAAATCCAGTATTTGGATTTTGAAACCTTTTGTTAATTATGGCTTTTTTCAACTGAAATTTTCAATGTTTCTGTTGCTATAACTTCATCATTATTCTGATCGGAGGCTAAAGGCTTACTTGAAATGGCGTTATCCCGTTGTTCACTTCATCTTTTTAAATTGATATCGTTAACATCTTGTTTCAATATTATTTTTTTATCTTGCAACCGATAAACTCCTTTGTCCAAAACCACTATTATTGTGTAAGGGCCGTGGAACCTTTGAGCTAACTTATCACCCATTTGTGTATCTTTACGTCTGTTGCATTTCAAAACTTTGTCGCCAACTGCAAATGATTTACTTGAATGTTTAATATCGTAACATTTCTTCTGCAAATTTTGTGTCAATGCGATGTTCGTTTTAGCTTCGTTTCTATTTGCACCAATTTTTTTCTTCGTCAATTTTGGTATCCCACTGAAAAACTTTTCTTGTCCGGTTTTCTAAATCAATTGGAATGTAAACTTTAACTCCATATATCATCTTAAAGGGAGAGTATTTTGTAGAAGCTTGTTTATTTATTCGATATGCAAAAGCCACCGGGTCCAGTAGCTCATCCCAGTCGTTTACTTTGTTGTTTACTAGCTTCATTAAATGGGTAATCAATGTTTGGTTAAATCTATTGTGCAGAATAAATAAATAAACTATAGTAAATAACTGTTGTACTGAAAGCTAATAATTAATGTCCCTTTTTTAAACTAAAAACAAATTTTAAAGTTAATATTAAAACTGTACAAAGATAAAAAAAAGTATAACTATTTATCACCTTTATGTCAGTCCATTAGTCTGAGGGTGATATGCTGATGTTTTGGTGGATTCCATGTTTAATATCAATAAAAGATCTTCTGCGAGCATGTTACAAAACTCATGTCCTTGTTCGTGAAGTAGAATTTTACAAGCCCCAAAACTGAATACAAGACGGAGAATGAAACAATGAACAGAATCCGCATCTTTTTCTGCTATGGAATCAACTTCAGCTCATCTATAGATGGGCTGAAGTTGATTCCATAGCAGAAAAAGATGCGGATTCTGTTCATTGCGTTTTTGAATGTTTTGAAAAACTCTTTAGTTTTCGAATTCTTTTGTGGATTGTTTATGATTATGTTATTGAAATCTGTATAAAAGTAGTAGCAACATTATACCTGACTATAGTCAGACTGTTGCAACAGTATACCTGACTATAGTCAGACTGTAGCAACAGTATACCTGACTATAGTCAGACTGTAGCAACAGTATACCTGACTATAGTCAGGTATTGACTGTTGCAACAGTATACCTGACTATAGTCAGACTGTAGCAACAGTATACCTGACTATAGTCAGACTGTAGCAACAGTATACCTGACTATAGTCAGACTGTAGCAACAGTATACCTGACTATAGTCAGGTATTGACTGTTGCAACAGTATACCTGACTATAGTCAGACTGTAGCAACAGTATACCTGACTATAGTCAGACTGTAGCAACAGTATACCTGACTATAGTCAGGTATTGACTGTTGCAACAGTATACCTGACTATAGTCAGACTGTAGCAACAGTATACCTGACTATAGTCAGACTGTAGCAACAGTATACCTGACTATAGTCAGACTGTAGCAACATTATACCTGACTATAGTCAGACTGTTGCAACAGTATACCTGACTATAGTCAGACTGTAGCAACAGTATACCTGACTATAGTCAGGTATTGACTGTTGCAACAGTATACCTGACTATAGTCAGACTGTAGCAACAGTATACCTGACTATAGTCAGACTGTAGCAACAGTATACCTGACTATAGTCAGACTGTAGCAACAGTATACCTGACTATAGTCAGGTATTGACTGTTGCAACAGTATACCTGACTATAGTCAGACTGTAGCAACAGTATACCTGACTATAGTCAGACTGTAGCAACAGTATACCTGACTATAGTCAGACTGTAGCAACAGTATACCTGACTATAGTCAGGTATTGACTGTTGCAACAGTATACCTGACTATAGTCAGACTGTAGCAACAGTATACCTGACTATAGTCAGACTGTAGCAACAGTATACCTGACTATAGTCAGACTGTAGCAACAGTATACCTGACTATAGTCAGGTATTGACTGTTGCAACAGTATACCTGACTATAGTCAGGTATACTGTTGCTACTACTTTTATATAAAATAAAAGTTTTTTCATATAAATGATTTGCAATTTATAAAATTGTTTAATTAATCATAACAAAAAGCTTATACAGATTTCAATAACATAATCATAAATAACCCACACAAGAATTCGAAAACTAAAGAGCTTTTCAAAACATTCAAAAACGTTCTAAACTTGCACGTAGTCATTTTGCTAACAATCAAACAAATAATTTTTGCAACTTTAGTGGAAAAACCGCTTAAAAAAACTTTATGATACTTATTTTTTTAAGATTGATGCGTTTGATTCTGCATTAAAAAAACAAAATAATGCTAAATGATTCTACATTAAAAAAATGATTCTACCTTTAAAAAAATCAAAGCAAACTTTGTTTTTTTAATGTAGAATCATTTAGTTAATTTAGTATTTAAACCGAATTTAGCATTTAAAATTTAGATCATTTTATTTGCGCATTTAATTGCGCAAGTCATATCAATTTGTATATTTTAGTATTTAGTGGAACTAATGTCACGGAGGACATTTTATTTCGCATATAGGGGGAAAGATATTACGAGGGGGGAAATATTAATTCAAAATGAATTTTTGACCGAAAAATTTTTTCCCCCCGGAAAGAATATTTCGGTCGGGGGGAAATTTTATTATGGGGAACATTTATTTCGTGACACCGGCCACAAGTTCATGCTTCATTCCCCAATACGTTGCACCTTTTTGTAAGCAATGTCCAGCAATCATGATTTGGGGGCAATCACAGCCAACGGTTGTGCTGGTATACATATTTTACAATAACGTGAGATTGTCGATTCCACAAGCTATTTGGAAATTTTGAAGAACAATCAAGCAAAAACTATCAAGATATAGATTCAAAAAGAGTAATTTATGTTCCTGCCCCGTGATTGTACGATTTATTCAATTTGATCCTGATCAAAAACTGTTGTGTAAAATTGAAAGTGAAAGTTTCAAAACATAATTCAATATCACTAGCAGCTCTGAGAAAAGCAATTATAAAAGTGTGGTGTCAGTCTTTTAGAACAGTCTCTATTCTTCGTGGCATTAAGTCTCTTGTTGTCTCAGTGCCGATAAGGGGCCATCCATAAAGGACGTCATCTAAATAAGGTGGCGGAGGGGGTCGAGTTAAAAAGGACAAAAAAGAAAAAAAGGGGAGGGGGAGGTTGTCAGAAAAAGACGTCACTTTATAGATTTTTTATTTTAGTATAATTAACATGAAAAACTACGTAAACATGTGTTTTTG